TAGTATTAGCCTATGTATATATATATATATATATATATATATATATATATATATATATATATATAGTATAATAGTATTTATTAATATTTAAAATTAGCTTTTATTTTAAAAGTTTTCATTTTAATTTTAGTTAAAGTTGAGCAATTTTGTTATGTGCTGTTATGTTTATTAGTTTTTTCTTTATTCATTTTTATTTAAATCTTAACTAGTAATTTTAGTACTTCAACTTAATCTTATTTATTTTAGTTGACAAGGCAACATTTCCCTTTTTAAGTAATCATTTTTAATCTGACATTTATATTTAATTTTATTACTTTATTTAAATGACCAAAACAGTTTTTAATAGTTTTAGTTTAAGTTTTAGTCATTTTGTTATGTGCTTTTGTTTGTTTATTAGTTTTATTTAATTCAATTTCAGCTTAAGTTTTTGTATTTTTAGTACTTCAGCTTAAACTTATTTATTTTATTTGTCAAGGCAAAATTTTAAATTGAAATTTTTAATCCAACGTTTATATTTCATCTTATAACAGAGTTATTTCATATCAAATTCTAAATAAATAAATAAATAGTGTAGTTTTAGTTAACGACTACAACACTTTTTCCAACATCAATTACGTTCTGATTGGCTTTTGTCACTTTTCAGCTTTTGAACTTTCCTGAAGGACAGAAAAATAGCTTGATGCTGGAAACCTGTTGCCCCACACCTGGTTAGGACACAGTGCAATTTGTTTATTCATCACAGTGAGGTCTATATAACCTTTTTTCCAAATCTAACCTAAAATTTCTGATATCGAAAGATGGCTTTCTGAATGGGTCTGGTTGAGGATACCTTCTGATTATTGTCTACATGAGGATCCCAGTGCCTGTTTTGTTCATTTCTGCTTTTGTTTCCTTCTCCAGCACCTCCAGTTGACCATCCAGGCCCTGCAGGATGAGTTGAGGACTCAACGTGATCTCAACCATCTTCTCCAGCAGGAGAGCGGGTCGCGGGTCAGTGCTGGTGAGCACTTCACTGCCATCGAGCTAACCGAGGAGAACTTCCGTCGACTCCAAGCCGAACACGACCGTCAGGCCAAAGAGCTCTTCCTCTTGAGGAAGACACTGGAAGAGATGGAGCTGAGGATTGAGACGCAGAAACAGACGCTAGGAGCCAGAGACGAGTCCATAAAGAAGCTGTTGGAGATGCTGCAGAGTAAAGGACTTCCCCCAGCCTCAGGAAGAGCGTCAGATGAGGAAGAGCAAGAGCGAGCCAGGCGTATCGCAGAGGCTGAAGCACAGCTGGGACACCTGGAGGTGATATTAGACCAGAAAGAGAAGGAAAACATCCACCTGAGAGAGGTATCAGGTTCTACTCAAACTTTCTGGCTGAAAGTGGAGCGTGCATGTCACTTAAAGATGGACTTTAGTAATGGATGTAAACTTTCAAAAGGAATGTTTGTTTTCAAACGTGAACATGCAACACATTCAAAGCAGATTTTCAGAGCAGAGAAATATAATAATTCAGAAACAGTCTCCATTGAGCAATCTGAGGTTAAGTGGTTTGCCATTGTAATAGTCAGATAGATAGTCAGATACAAATAAGACAATAACAGCATATGGTCTCTGAGTCATCTAAACCCAAGAGAAAAACATGAGGAGATCCATGCCAACCACACAGATAATGCCCTATGAGCTCAAAGAGAATCAAATGAAACAATCCAAATGTCAAAGAGTGAAAAAGATCAGAATGCAGATTGAAAATAAGATTTTAATGTTAACGGATTGACATAATTGCTCTCTGATGTTTTGGGTTGGTTTAAGGTTAGGGCTACGTAATGGATTTTAACTTCACAGTATAAAAGGTAAAAAGAATGAAGTTGTTATAAACAAGAACACATTTATTCTAAAGTGTATAGCTCAAGTTTGTGTTATGTGTTTGTTATTATGTTGATTATAATCTTAGTTTTTCTTTAGGAGCTTCATCGGAGAAACCAGCTTCACCCAGACCCTGGAAAAACTAAAGCTCTTCAGACTATCATAGAGATGAAGGTAAACATCTGTGAATGCTTCTTATATAATATATATACTATACACTACTGTTCATAAGTTTGAGTCCAGTAAGATTTTTTAATAATGAATTTAAGAATGCAATTAATTGATCAAATGTGACAGTAAATGCATTTACAGTCAAACCAAAAATAAGACACCAGATATAAGTTTTGATATTTTTTTTACTAGTGGGTGCAGGACACTATAGTTCATTTATGCAAGTGAGGATAGCAAAATAAAGTGAACTGTGACATATTATACCCAAAAACTACCAGTAAAATTGATTAAAAAATTGGGACCAAAAATTATTCAGGCACTTTGACCTGACCATTTTTTTTTAATTGCTAATGCGATCCTTTTACACCACAGACTGAACTAAATTAATTAAATTAAGCATTGCTTAGTAATGGGTTGACCTAAATTGGTATTATCTAATTGTGTACTTAAATTTAACAGCTGACAACTATTCAATCTAATTCAGTGCATACCTTTCCATCAAAGTTATCTGACATTATCAAGATGAATTTGTTCTGACACAGTTCCTGTCATATTTTATTACCATTTTCTAAACTATAACTGTGATAATGTGAGCAATGTTGAAGGTGTCTGAATAAATTTTGGTTTGACTGTATAATGTTACAAAAGATTTCTCTTTCAAGTAAATGCTGTTAATGTACTGTATCATGGTTTCCAAAAATATTAAGCAGTTTTTTTTCAACATTGCTAATAAGAAATGTTTCTTGCGCAGCAGATTAGCATGTTAGAAAGATTTCTGAAGGATAATGTGACTCTGAAGACTAGATTTATGGATTTTTACCATCAGGAATAAATTACATTTGAAAGTGTATAGCTGTTTTTAATACTATTTCACAACATGACTGTTTTTATTGTATTTGTATAATAAATGCAGCCTTGGTGCGCATGAAAGACTTGTTTAACAAATAATTAGTATTGTCATTAGAGAGAGTAGTTGTATTTGGCACGCTCTGGTTAAACAATAGGCTGAAAAGGCAAACAGAAATGGTCCAGAAAGACAAGAGAAATGTCTGATGGCAAAGCCACTGCAGCCTGCTGCTTAATGGCTGAATGAAACAGTAAGTGGGTTTGTGCGCTCACAGGCAGAGCAACTCCTGCCAGCAGAAGCATTACACACCACTCTAAAAATAAAGCATGGCCTCCTGCAAGGCACGCACACACCCCTCGGGTCCACTCTGATTGGAGCTAAATATTACCCAGAATTCACCACTGCATCCATGTGACACAAAAAGCAAAGTGATAGACTCCTATTCAAAGTGCAACTTCGCTAATTCAGTTGATGCATTTTCCTGGAACCAAAAACCGCAAAAGCCGCTCCACCTGTACTGGTTTCCATTGCTCTTTTAACCTTTAGCATCACTGGTAGTGTTCTCTCGCCCTATTGGCTGAGCAGGGATGCTGATTCTGGTGCCATGGGAACAGGTGGAGTTGTTTACAACACTTATTTATGTGTTTTTTTAAAGAGATACTCTCATGTTGTTGTAAACCTGTATGCTGTTATTTAATTTGTTGAGCGGAAAATTTAAAACCGCAAAAATCATCATAAAAAAAGTCCACACAGTCTTCTGGAAGCCATGCATGAGAAGCATACCGAAATGTAGGTGATTTGAGCAATTTTGGGGGGTAACACTGTTCCTTTAATTATTGCTAGCAGCCAGAAGATGTATATTTTGACTTAAAGCTTGTAATTGTACATTATATGAGCAAGATTTCTTGTTTTTAAGTAAACATGAAATCAGTATTGACCCTACTTACTTTCTTAATAAATCAAAAAAAATTTTGAATAATTTGTTAGAGATTTTTTTTTCTTATTCTAAATTTTAAAAGGGTTGTCTTTGTAATCTTGCTTTAAAATGTAAAAGCTTGCTTTGTCACTGAAACAACTGTCTTGTTCATGTTTTTCAACCCCTCCACTGCAATTGCCACTTTGCACAATCCAATCAATTCTTGATGGATAAAAGTTCCACCATAGTTTTTTTTCACTTTGAATATCATGTTTCTTGTTAACGAAAGAAAATGGGTTGTGAAAGCTGTTTCATATTTACTTTAACAGTAAAGATTGAAAAAATCTGCTATAATATCAGTGATATTATTCAAAAATTTCGCTATCAGTCCACACTTAGATTAAATATTACCATCTGTTGGGAATTGGGTTTGGCATGCTTTTGTCCGTAGAATCGCACCAAAGTTGTCATACTAGCTTAAGATGATGGAGCACAGCGTCGCTGATTTTTCCACTAAATTGTTTATCCAGGACACCAAAATCGCATCCCTGGAACGCAACATTCGAGACCTGGAGGATGAGATACAGATGTTAAAGGCGAATGGATTGTTGAACACGGAGGATCGAGAGGAGGAGATCAAACAGATGGAGGTCTACAAAAACCACTCCAAGTTCATGAAGACCAAGGTAAACTTTTTCTTCAAAGAGTTTAAACTATAAACCGCTTTAGACACAAAGAAATCAGTGCATTTAGGTAACTGATAAAGTGAAAATGCATCATTTTTTATTATTATTTATGTGTTTTTTTAAAGAGATACTCTCATGTTGTTGTAAACCTGTATGCTGTTATTTAATTTGTTGAGCGGAAAATTTAAAACCGCAAAAATCATCATAAAAAAAGTCCACACAGTCTTCTGGAAGCCATGCATGAGAAGCATACCGAAATGTAGGTGATTTGAGCAATTTTGGGGGGTAACACTGTTCCTTTAATTATTGCTAGCAGCCAGAAGATGTATATTTTGACTTAAAGCTTGTAATTGTACATTATATGAGCAAGATTTCTTGTTTTTAAGTAAACATGAAATCAGTATTGACCCTACTTACTTTCTTAATAAATCAAAATTTTTTTTGAATAATTTGTTAGAGATTTTTTTTTCTTATTCTAAATTTTAAAAGGGTTGTCTTTGTAATCTTGCTTTAAAATGTAAAAGCTTGCTTTGTCACTGAAACAACTGTCTTGTTCATGTTTTTCAACCCCTCCACTGCAATTGCCACTTTGCACAATCCAATCAATTCTTGATGGATAAAACTTCCACCATAGTTTTTTTTCACTTTGAATATCATGTTTCTTGTTAACGAAAGAAAATGGGTTGTGAAAGCTGTTTCATATTTACTTTAACAGTAAAGATTGAAAAAATCTGCTATAATATCAGTGATATTATTCAAAAATTTCGCTATCAGTCCATACTTAGATTAAATATTATGTTGAGCTTCTTTCAAATAAATAAATGTCTTTTCACAAATGTTTAAGTGCAGTAAAGGGTTTCCAGTGGCAGGGAAGTGGCTGAGAACATCCTTGCGGATGTCTTGTAGAATTGTAATGATAGGTTTGCTGAGTAATGCTAGAAGCAGCAGTATTAAAATAGAGTCTGTAGGATCTGTGTAAATATTTCTCACGGCTGTGCTGACAGTGTTTCTTGTCAAAGCTCTTCAGTGTATTTGCTGTAGGTTTATTAGAAATTCTTCCCTCACAAACTTTGGCTGAATCACAGTTCCCAGTGCCAGTAAGTCTACCATGCATTGTGTTGGGCACTGTGTCTAGAATCATCTCAAAATAATACATTGCATAAGAGGTTGTGGGTAGTTTTAGCCAAAAAAGCATGCATTTGTATTTTTGAAAAAGAACTGAAAATAGTACGCTATCCAGTAGTGTTGTTGTAAAACTATTTAAAAATGTTTTCGGTAATTGAAATGAAGGTGAAATAAAATATAAGTATTAGATGACAAACTTCAACTTTAAAAAATAAAATTATACTGAAATATAAATGAAAGCTAAACAGAAATATTAAAAAAGCACACAACAAAATCGCTAAAACTGACAGTAAAAATAAGAGCTAATTCTTATTAATAAATTAGTTATATTTATTAATTATAATGAATTATTCATATCAATAAATGCTATACTTGTACATAAAAAAATACTAAAATAACACTGCCATCCATCCAGGCCACTTTAACAAACAATGTACAAAGGTTTGTGTATGTTCTAATTTTACACTTGCATACTAAATATGATAGATGCATGATTCTGACTTTATTTATTTTTAATTGATATTTAATGATATTTTGATCCAAAGCTCTGATTGGTTTGTTTGATTTGCACTGCCCAATCAACTGTTTTTAACTGGCTTGTTTCTTAACAGAAAAAATCTCATTGGTTAGTGGATTTTTGTGCATGTGTGTGATGTCTTTGCTGTATCTAACATGCTCGTGAATAAGCTGGGGGTTTTGTTGTGATATTTATAGAACTCATTTCATCAATAATTGATATGGCTGATGTATATTAAATGGGGATTGCGTTCTGAAATCCATCTTTTATGTGAGGAGAGTACAGATGTAGAGAAGAAAACTCCCATACTCATTTCAGCTCCCCTATTAAAAAAACATAGCTGATTAACACATTTTATGACATGATTCGTTAAAAATATAATTTGTCTAGATACTCATATGTACTAAATGATTTCCCTGTCCTATAAATAACAGAAGATTTTCTTTCTCTGTTCCTGCTTTTTCAATCTCTTTCAGATTGACCAGCTCAAGCAGGAGCTCTCAAAAAAAGAGTCTGAGCTTTTAGCTCTGCAAACAAAACTGGAAACTCTAAATAATCAGAATTCAGACTGCAAACAGCATATTGAAGTGCTCAAAGAGTCCCTCACTGCCAAAGAGCAACGCGCTGCCATCCTACAAACAGAGGTTAAAATGATTTTATTTTATTTTATTATTTTTTCTTTTTCTAAAATTCTTTATTTTTATTTTTATTAAGTTTTAACATTTACCTTGGTGCAACTCCTTGTCCCTTACAATTCTGTGTGTTATTGTAAATTATTTTATTTTTATGGGATTTGATTATTGTTATTATTATTATTTTAATAAGCACTTGAAGACACATCTCACCAGCTTTACGTGAACTCTGTGCTCATGGTGTGTTGTTTAGGTGGACGCTCTTAGATTGCGTCTGGAGGAGAAGGAATCTTTCCTTAATAAGAAGACGAAGCAACTGCAAGACTTGACAGAGGAGAAGGGAACACTGGCCGGGGAGATCAGAGACATGAAAGACATGCTGGAAGTCAAAGAACGCAAGATAAACGTCCTGCAGAAGAAGGTAAATCTCACTTGGGAATCAAAGGTCAGAGACCAGTTTTCATGGGCCATTTAGAAATGATTGGGGTCAATACTGATGAGCAGTACCAAGAAGAGTGGGATTTGAGCCAGAGCAAGGGGATTTGAAAGCCTGTATCTGTAACGGATTTAACTTATTGCACACCTATATAGTGTTTTTGGTGAGATATTTGAGAAAATATAAATATAATATAATATAGAGAAAGCTCTGTTTTTAAAACCTAGTGAGCTGAATTTTGACAAAAAAATTGAAGCAGACTCACATGTATTCTTCACAGACAAAGCAGTCCTAGTCAAATGCATTGTAACTCCATGTGACAGAACCACAGAGCATTAGTGTCTTTCTCCCCATATCTTCTTCCAACTGCTTTTTCATCTTTGCTCTCTTCTTACCATATCACCACATGCTTTGCTGGGTTCTTCAGCCTTTTTCATGTTGTTCAGACACTGGAAACATCTCAAGAGTCAAAAAAGGCCACAGTCTGCTTCAAACTGTATTTAACTTCTGATCTCTGGCTCTTTGTGCTGGTTTGATCCCTCATATCTTATATTCTAAGTCACATTGCAAACATCCTGCTGTATGTCTTAAATATTTACACAAAGAAACAACCAAGTAGTTCCTTTTGCCTTCAAAACAGCTTGATTTGTTCTTGAAACCCCTTCATACAGCTCCATAACTGTGGGTAACGGGATATTGCACCATTCATCAAACAGAAAACTGGGGGGATGAAGGAAGTGAAATCTAGCCCATTATCTGGCCATACAGAACATCATCAGGCATAAATATTCCCATGAGATGCCGTCCGTACCATTAGAGACCAACCACAATTGTTCATAGTCAGCAATAGACATTGTGGGCTGAAACATCCTTAGGCTTTCTTCAACACAAACCCGTTCAAATGGAAAACAAGGTGAAAGATGAACCGAAAGACCATATAACTTACTCAGATGTCCAGGTACTGTGTCCGTTACACTAGGTTATCCATCTTTGTAAGATGGCCTTGAGTACATACAGTTTGTTTGTAAGATGGCCTCTAAATGCAGTATACATCCATTCATGTCAGTAAACACTGACATATTAATGTTTCGCATTGTCAGTGTCATTTGTTGTTATTTGATGTTTGTCCTTGTTATTTTGACAATGTTTGTTCACCTTTTACAGACTAAAATGATGTTTTTGTGACCAGTGCACTTACAGTTTGTGGGTATATTTGTAACTTTATTAGCTCATAGTGCTTTTACAACTAATCCTTTCATATTAAAAAGCATGTGAGAACTATTTACTTACAGCAATCAACATAGCATAACCTTAAGTCAAATTTAAAGGGATAGTTCACCTAAAAATTAAAATTACCCCATGATTTACTCACTCTCAAGTCATCCTAGGTGTATATTAGTTTTTTCTTTCAGACGAATACAATCAAAGTTTTATTGAAAATGTCCTGGCTCTTCCAAGCTTTATAATGGCAGTGAATGGGTGTTGATATTCAATAGTTCAATAGATGTCCAATAATAGAAGTTCATCCATCATAAAAAGTGCTGCACGGCTCCGAGGGATTAATAAAGGCCTCCTGAAGCGAATTGGTGCATTTTTGTATTTAAAAAAATCCATATTTCAAACTTTATAAACTGTAATCTCTAGCTACGCCTATACGATGGCTTGAGGGTGGGGTAATTTTCATTTTTGGTTGAACTATCCCTTTAAACTCCCTTTCCATTTGATTTTTAAAGATGAAGTATGTAATTTTAGCACCCCTAGTGGTACCAAGATGAAGTGCAGTTCTTAATTGTTTGAATGAACATGTTTCGCTAATACAGTGATGCAGGAATGAGTCCTAAAATCCAGAGATGAGTTCCACTGTTCCAAAGTCAAAGGTTTTTTTGAACAGCTTTTTGATTAAATGCCTGAAATAAGACCTGTGGTTAAAACAAGCAAGATTTTCATATTTCATTCAACAACATAAAATACATCAGTAATACCCTACTCATGATTTTTAAAAAGCTTTTTATGCTTTAAATGGCAATTGCTCACTAGTCCACTTTTTACAGCCTCATTTTTTTATACTTGTGCTCTTACAAACTATTCTAACTTAAACTTTCTAACAATATTTTAAAGGGGTCATATGATGCGATTTAAATTTTTCCTTTCTCTTTGAAGTGTTACAAGCTCTTGTTGCATAAAGAAGATCTGTAAAGTTGCAAAGACTAAAGTCTCAAATCCAAAGAGATAATCTTTATAAAAGTTAAGAGTCAACAACGCCTACCTAAAACGGCTCGTTCTAACACGCCCCCACATGTCTACGTCACTATGTGGGAAGATTTGCATAACGCCGCCCAAATGTTCACGCAAAGAAAAAAGGCGTAACTTTTATTCTCGCTGTAGTATTGGTGCCGCCATGTCGTGAAGACGCTGTGTGTTTCATTATGAAAGCGAAACTACTTTGTTTGGCCTTCCAAAAGAGGACACGACTAGAAATCAGTGGTTAAGTTGTATTTACAACACTGTTCCAGAACAGTTCAACCCAAATATTCAGATGTGTGCAGCACATTTTATGGAGGTTTGTTTCCTGATCCTGGTAGAGTAGACTACAATGCCGGCTGTTCTGTCTCACAGACTGTAAGTACTTTTTTTATTTATTTAAAGGATTTGCCACTGATGATTCAAA